CTGAGGCTCAGATTTCTGAAGTTAATTTGCATGGTAGATAAAGTGAACTAAACAAACAGGGCCATATTCGCTTTGTTCAAATGGTTCTTAATGACTCATCTTACTATGTTTTGGTCATTTCACCTTTACTTAAAAGTATACATAATTTTGTCTGCTTTATCAAATGATGTAGAAATATTTGGGATATTATAACAATCAATGTAGAGATACAGTGGTAAGTTCCATAAGTTTGTTTCTGGATGAATCACTCTTCCACATGGAGAAATATGTTTACTACTTTAATAATAAGCTGTAAGATACAGCACAATTCTCTTAATTCAAAAAGATAAGTAATTTGCATAGATGCTCTGTGAGAGCCAGAGAGACAACTGTGATGGTTAGTAAAGAGCTCCTTGTTCTGACTCCTTGGCATTATGGAGGCTGTTAATAATGGAAGAACTGGAAATCTAAAGACTGTTATTGCTTTCCTAAGAAATATGAAATAAATAAGTGCAGATGAGCAGCTGTGAGAAGAGGAGAGGTAGATGCAGGGGTGAAAGAAATGCAGATGTTCCAGGTTGTGTGTCCTGGGCTCACCCCCACACATTTGGTTTTTTAATTTAACTACTTTAGGAACTCCTGTGACATAGCAGTGACTTTGAAAAGGGAGTAAAATTCAGGACAGTTTTGCAACTTTCCAACAGGTCTTAACTGTCCAACAATTCACAGTTCAACAAATATCACATAAGGATTTACAACGTTCTATTGTTTCTAATCACTAGAGCCCCACATGAATTTTATCATCAGGAATGTTTGAGAAATGACATATTCCTTCTGCCTGCCTCACTCAGCACACTTAATGTCTTGAATAGAAATTTGTACTTCTTTTATTTGTCTATTATAGTTTTACTTATTCATTTTATATGTTTGCTGGGGATTGAAACCAGAGCCTCACACTTGCTAAGCATATGCTCTATCTCTAAGCTGTACTCTAACCCCATTTCTGTTTTATTAATCTATTTATATGTTTATAGGCTTCATATAGTTGTAACTGAAGCATATATGCCAGTACTCACACTTTTTTGGGAAAACATACCCATAAGTCTCACCCCATTACTAAGTTAATAATAATAATTTTAAGTGAGTGGCTCATACGAACTTAAGAGCAATTAGAGAATATCTTTTATAGCCCTATTATAGTATAAGCAACCAAATATTGAGAACTATACCTATTACTGAAATGGATTTAAACACTTGGCAACTGCTCTCCCATAAACACTGTTCAACAGATGAACACATTACCATACCTAATTGCTTGTACCCAGGCCTCCCCACAGCAGGTTAACTAAAAATATGGGTCAGACACTTAATTTTTGATGAAAAATGATCATTTAATGGATCAATAATTACTTACTTAGTTTCTTTCCTATTTAAACTTTATCAGCTCTAATGAAATTAGATCATTGATGGATTCAAATTGTCTTTAGATAAATCCCCAAGTGAAAGAGTGGATATATCCCTCCTGTTGTGGACAATAAAGAAAAAGAATGAAAAGAAAATCCCAGCTGAGCATCTTTAGAAATCCCTGCACACAACCTTGTTCATGTTTGGAAGTTGTTAATTCACAGGGGAACATGTGAAAAGTCTCTGTGATGAAGATACTACTCTTTAATAAACCTAAATGAGAAGAAAAATTAACTACATCTAAAATAATAAACAACTCATAGCATTCCCTGGGTTGGAAAAGAGAAACTGCCTCTGTGTTGTTTGGATTGTTCAATAATTAGCCCCTGACACAAATATAAACAGAGCAGAAGAGCAAGACTACAAATCTTAACATCTTAAGGGCCATTTAAAATATGTCCCATCAATATTAAGATAATATCATCAGGGAACATTTTTTTAAATTCACATACTAATACTAGCAAAAAGTAATTAATAAAGACTAGCAAGGCGTAATTACGATGATATCAATAGTCATGATTAATGTTTCTAGCGAATGGGAATGTGTATAGGCTAATGGATTTTTATAACTAAAGAATAATATCTGCTACTTGGGAGAAAATTTAATATATCCATCTCATTAGTTGAAATACTTTTAGTGACCAAGAAGATAGGTATGCAAGCTTAAGTGCATTATAATCTTTCTACTTGTATGAGCTATTTATTTGTGTATGTATTATGCATGTGTGTGCATACATATGCATGTATGTATGCATGTATATATGTACGTGTGTGTGTGTGTGTGTGTGTGTGTGTGTGTGTGTGTGTGTGTGTGTGTGTCCTGGGTGGGTATAGACATTTATGTGTGAAGATCAAAGAATAACTTCTAGAAGTTGGTTCTTGGAATTAAACTCAGGTTGTCAGGTTTATTTTGCAAGCACTGTTACTAACTGATCCATCTTACTGGCCCTAATTATTTATTTGTTAACATTTCAATCTGATAGCCATTATAGAACCATTGTTAATCTGATGATGGAGGACCAAAAATGCAGGAGCCAAAACCCTCTTGCCAAGTTCTACCACCCCTGACTCCCTCTGGTCCAATTTAATCCTAATTCAGACTCTGAAGCTGCTGTTGGAACCTGTTGGAGCTTTCAGAATGTTTAGACCTATGCGGCTCAGTTCAGATTGTACAGCGGAATCACTAGGATTTGTTCAAAATGCTGACTTTTGGTATCAGTACTAGAAATATCTGTTTGGTTACAGCGTGGCTCAGATTATTTTTACAAGAGCTCAGATAGCTTTGATGTTCTACCAAAGCTGAAAATCTCTACTCATTTTGATGTACTTTGAGCCTACTGTAAGGTCAAATTGAATGTCAGGGGTAATTCAAGGGTTTAAGTAATAATGTCATAAATTAAACAGGTATAAGACATTAATGCAATAATCTGAGTATGTCCTTTTTCCACCTGAGATCTATGCACTCAGCAAACACATTATTATTTAAAATGCTCTTGTTACAAATGTGTGAGGATTATTTTAGTAATGACATGGCATTTTAGTAAAGTGTTATATACCAAGTCATACTATTTTAGGTTAATAAAAACATCAGTTATCCAAATCTGGCAGTGCACGTATGTAATCTCAGTTCTGGGAAAGCTAAAGCAAGAGGAGCATGGGCTTAAAGCCAGCCTGGTCCACGTAAAAGACCTCATCTCAAAAAGCAGACAAAGCAAAGCAAAGCAAAAACCCAAAGAGAAGCAGCAAAGGTCTGAATTAATGAGCCATCAGTTGATGTGATGAGAAGTTAGAACCAGTCACTATTTATTTAAATTTTTCCTTTCAGGTCTTTTTCATGTTTGTTTTATGAGGCTGATAAAATAGCATGGGTATAAAGGTTTCAAATGTTTTTAAAGCTCCATCTTTTCTTTAAAAAAAGTTTTTAAAACAAAAATCAAAAACTGGAGCAATGCTATTAGGGATGTATTTATCCAGACAATCAGGAAATATTTGAACACATATAAACCCTCATGGAGTCTGATCTCAACAGATGTCCGTTTTAAGCACCTGTTGGAGTCCACTCTGCCACTGCCTTATTAAATGGGATGGAGTTTAACTTTCCAAAAGCAGGTGGCAGTTGGAATGTTAGAAATGTCCATTTGCTCCTTATGCTCCATTCTAGCTCACCAGCTCCTGGACCATTCTGGTGACCTTTGGATTGTGTCATTAATAAGAGAGAGAACTCTACAAACCCTTTTGGATTCACCAGCTTTGTTTATAAAGGTTCATTCAAAGTAGTTGAATTCACACAATAAGCAAATAAAGAAAGACTAGTGCTTTTCTACTTGTTGTCACCCACTCTCCGTTGTCTGTCAACAAGGGATTTATTGAAAAGGTATAACCATAATTGTAAATTGAAGAGACTTGAAAGCTCATCTAAGAAGCTGTTTGGTGTACTTTGCAGTCTAACTGTTAAAGGTATTTGATGATAATGAGGTAACTAAAAATGTCATAGAGAGTAACACAAAAGGTGCCATGACTGAATTGAAAATGATCAAAGCTATGTCCATACCATTTCCTCAAGTATGTTCTTCATGTCTGTGCATAGTACAGGACTAGACTGAGTCCTATTGGCCTGAAGGTCAAGGGTCATACATAGTGATTTCAACACTTCAATTTTGAGACAGCTGAATGTGGTCCTGACCTGGCTTAGTCAGTGGGTTGATCATCTTCATCTTTAAGCCTTCCTGCCCTTTCTAAAAACAGCAGGGCATTGAACCAGGAGCTATTTTAAGTAACACATACTCAGTCTTCTCATTGGGTAGAAGCATATTTTGGCCTCTTGCCTATGTCAGATTGACACATGTGCAGTTAGACTTGGATGCTAGTCCACACTTCTCAACACTCATAAGAAATTTGCAAACATAAAGACACTGGGATTGTTAGCAGAGAGTCCGTGAGGAGATGTAAAGACCTTTATTGGGGATATGAATATGCTCCCGGGATCATCCATTTCAGACATTTGCACCTCAGTCCTCAGCTTTTCGGATCTGTTTTCGTAAAACCTAGCTGGGATTTCACTCCAGAGACACCCCCACTTGTCTCTGGATCCTGCCACTCTCGATAAATACTGATAGAAGACACTGCCAAGCTGTGGATAAGGGAAACTAATGAGAAACTGCTTTCTAAAACCTGAACAGCAAAAACAAAACCAAGCAAGCCCATCAAATCCAAAACAAATCCACAAGAGAGCAACTCAAACAGTCCATACTCACAAGAAGACGCGTAGAAAAAACACCAAGATGTGACTGGTTTGCTAGCTGGACTTATCAGTCACTTGACTGGCATGCACTGGATACTCTGTATTTTTCTCCTTTGAAAAACAAGTACAAGTCTATGTTATTCTATACAGCTGGGACCAAAAAATTATGAGTGTGAGAAAGCACAGACTCTAAAAGCAAAATGGAATTGAAGCGGGTAAAGCCCATGTCACAATCATGCCATTCCAGTACACTCATCCCGGGTACTCGTGTCTGCACCTCTAAGAAATTTCCATTTTTTCACATCAAAAAATCCAGATATGAAGCCGAAGCTGCCTTCTTCGCCAACCTGAAGCTGTCTGATTTCAACATCATCGACACCCTTGGAGTTGGAGGTTTCGGACGAGTGGAGCTGGTAGGTGAATTTTCTTTGAATGCTTTTCAAAGCTTTTCTTCTTCCTCGCTTTTCCCCCCTAGCCTAAGAATCCATCTTTTGCCTCTCATTATTAACTATTAACTATTGACTATTAACTATTGTTGCTCTAACTCAGAAACAGACACCTTCGTGCAGGCATGTCAGAGATTGTTTAACAACGTGGGCTAGGATATGCAGTCACTGGACTCAAAACAAACTACAAATTGCTTCTTAGAAAACTTTTAGTATCCAATAAATGCTAAGCACATTAATTTAATCACTTTAAATTAATTTAAATCACCTTAAATCACTTTTGCCCCCGATTGTATGATTACTTCCTTCCTTAGTTATGATCAGTGCTTACTAACTTAATTATGATACAATTAAATTAATTAAATGTAAACACAGAAAAAGAAACTGGAATATGTATTATATATACATATCTATACACATAGTTATATAACTTATATATAAATAAATAAAATAAATGTAGTGGTAATAATTCTGTTATTCTATAATTGTAACCACCTATTTAGATTATAGAGATAATGGTTTGGATGTTTTGTATAATTTATTTCACATTAATTATGTTTTATGTAATTTAGTTCACTGGGTAAATGGATACACATTATAGGACATGATGACATTCTTGTTCATTTGTTAAGCATATTGTATGAAGCATATTGTATGAATGTGGTATAAACAATATGAAATCAACTGTATTTTGCATTTGTTTGAAATGGGAATTTTAAAACTGACTTATTGCAAGAAAAATTAAGAAAGGACCTATGTCCTGGTGACAGAGGTAGCCCCATTCCAGATACAGATTCACTTCTGCCTCTCTGCTGAACATGAGGGAGTCCCTGATAGGAGACGCTAGTACAGTATGTTAGGAACTCCCTAGCATGTGTGAAGCGCAGTCAACAGTTACTGTTGCCACCCGAGGTCAGGAGGAATCCCTTCCATAAAAGTCAAGTGGCACAGGGCTATTTTTATGTTTGTTTTTATTGCTGTTTAGCTCCCTGGCTTTGACACAGGGAAAGATGTCATTTGCTGGAGTATTAGAAAAGGTCTTAGCACTAAAGTGTGTTGCCCTGAATCTGCATATACTCCCTGTAACATGGGCTGAAGCTATGTAAAAATTAGTACTATTTTAGACATGAACATCCAAAATGTGCCTGTGAGGATCTGATTGTTGTTAATTATGGGTATAAAATTCAAGTAAAGGTCCAGAAAACAGACAGGCAGTCAGACAAATCTTCCTGCTTTTCTAAACTTTGCTGACTAATTAACGAAGCTTGTCATAATTGGTTTTTGCTGCTTTGATAAATGCTATGCCCAAAACCATTTAGGGAGGAAAGAGTTTTTTGGGATTAACAAGTCTATAGACCATATAAAGGACAGAATTCCTCTGAGCAGTGATTCTCAATCTGTGGGTCACTACCTCTTTGGGTCACATATCATATATTTACATTATAATTCATCACAGTAGTAAAATTATAGTTATGATGTGACAATGAAATAATTTTATGTTTGGGGTCACCATAACATGAGAAACTGTCTTAAAGGGTCACAGCATTAGGAAGGCTGAGAACCACTGCCTAGAACATGATTTGGAGGCTGTTTGATATAGTTAGTTCCTTAAATCCAGGTTTAAAGACTATAGGCAAGGAAGGTGAAGATGGCCCTGTGGTTAGGAGCACACACCTCCCAGTGCCCACACTGGCCTCCACCTCCAGGTGACATTAGGATCTATCCTGGCCTCTACAGGCAGTGCTCTCCTTTGCACATGTGTGTGCATGCACACACACACACACACACACACACACACACACACACACACACACACACACAAATGAAATTAAAAATAAAATCTTTAATAAAGACTTTGGACAATAAAATAACTGTTTTAGTTGACAAAAAAACCAGCATTATGTCTGTGGATTTCTAGAGAGTAACTTCAAGTTACTTACTTAGTGAAATATAGACATTGTCTAAGATGTTTGAAGTATTGAAACTATAATAGCTTTGAAAACAGTTGTGAGACCACTTCAAGTTGAAAAACTTAATACTGTATTGAAAATTGAAAACTTCTAGAAAATTCTCAGAAAAATATATAAGAGGCACAAAGAAATAGCCACAAAATTTAGGGAAGTTTAATCATATAAAAGGAAATACAGTTTTTAAAGACAAAATATGTGTATGTATGTTCAGGGATACATGTGCATGCTTGTGTATGGACACAGTTATACAGATCATTTCCATGTCAGAGGAGATACTCTACATACTTGCCTGATTTTTCCTTTTGGATATTATTGTTTACCGTTTTTCATAGGTATTTTAAAGAAAAACAAACCCTGAGCCTAGAAAGAGAGTTCAGCAGTTAAAGGTGTTTGCTGCTCTTCTAGAGGACCTGTAAATGTACATGTAATTAAAAATAAAATTATTTTTAAAAAGAACAAAAGAAAACCCAAAGCCTAAAGAATTCATCTAAAATAGAAATGTAGCTAGTTTGCAAAATGTTTATATAATATCTGTAAGTCCTTGGTAGGCAGGCATTAGGGTCAATGAATCCACTGGGATCAGAGAGAGACACATGTCCTTAAACTCAGAAGTCATTTTATGTGATCTTTCACATCCCAAAAATGTATTAGCAAATGTATAAAATATCTAAAATGCATACATTTTTAACACATGGAAACAAGTTCTGAACATACTAATACAAAGTATGTAACATTTACTACTTGAACCAATTAATTGTTACTTACCAACAATAATTATCAGGCAAAGGATATTAAAAAACAACACTATAAGTTGCATGTAGCATCCTAAACATTCCCCAAGTATGAGATCATAAACTCTCCAATGAGATTTGAAGAGTTCAGAAATTTGAAATTTTGAGCTCCATGTCCTACCTCAAAGAGGTAAAAATCTTATAATTGTTACTTCTTGATACATAGATCATGCCTGAGGCATTTTGCATGAGGATACACCCAACCTGTTAATCTTAACATTTCCCAACTTCTTGTTTGTCAGTTTAGGTAAATTTAGGTGCAAGAGTATTTCTATCAGGCGAAGATTTAAATAACTTACTTTTTTGTGGAGATGAGAACATCATATGAAACTTAAAGTGTATTCAGAGTCCCGTCTCCTTTCTGTGATCTGCCATTGACCATATTTTTATCTATGTTCTTAACTGATGAGCTTTGTGATGTGTTCAGTGTGATGTGTTTACTATATGTCTTCTAGAAAACCAATTCTGTTTGCAATGTCACTTGTATGTATATCACATGTGTATACATTCACTCTTTAAGACTACTCTATAAGGTAATTAAATAATACCTTCATGTATCTTAATGTGCAAGGTGTAATTATAAAATAATGAAGTTGGTTTTAAAAGTCCTAAGTGGAAATGTGTCCTGTTGCTTTATAGTAACACCCATAATCTCCTTCTATTTTTGTCAGAGGCACATGATTCAGAGAAGATTTTCCCACGAATCAGACAAACAACTTTGTATCCTGGCAACATTAGTTGTTGTTGCACTAAATATTAATTTATTCTGTAATCCTAACATTTCCTGTACCCATAAGCTATCCTTAGCTAAAATATAAAAACAAAATATAAGGGGGACATAAAGCCTTCTTTCCTTGCACTGTATTTTTTTCTACGTCATTTATGGGAGATTTAAAAGTTTAATTAGAAAAATTGCTTCTGGCTTTGGGAACTCACAGTTTGCTTCAAAGAGAGAATAAGATTTAGTCATAAGCAAAGTAGGATCAGCACAGGTTGTGTGGAAGAGGAAGACTGATATCCAGATAAAGCAGAGTGGATGTAGCACTATAGTAAATAGTTATGAAACCAAAGCACGAGAACACAGGCTTCCTCATAAACTTGTACTCCTTACTAAAATGATCAACCTTTCATTTGAAGCCTGGTTTATAATCTTCAAGTCCGTGTCCAGTTTATTTTTTAACTTAAAAGTTATTTTTATTATTTTTTTATATTTTTTAAATTTTTTTATTCACTTTACATACCAACCACCACTGATCCCCCTCTCATCACTCCTCCCATCCCCCCACCTCCTGCCCTCGACCCACCCCTCATCCCCTCCTCCAACAGGGTAAGTTCTCCCATGTGAGGGATAGCTAAGCCTGGCACATTCAGTTGAGGCAGGACCAAGCCCCTCCCCCTGCATCAAGGGTGAGCCATGTCCAGTTTATAATTCTCCCCTTATAGCTTCTCTGAGAGGTGTGGTTCAGATCTCACAGGGAAAAAAAACGTCAAGATGATGCATTGGAAGTGGCAAAAGTCCATACAGTGAGAACTGTTGCTATTGCCCCAAATGACAGACTTTTTTTTTTAACTTAGAAACTTTTCTGTCATTCTGGCTTCAACAAATGTTTAGATTCTTTCTACTACTACTACTACTGTGAAACAAAAGAAGCATAAGTGTTCCTGTCTTAGTTTCTTTTCCAGTTCCTGTGATAGATTACTCCTACCAAAGCAATTTAGGGGAGAAAAGATTTATCTGGCTCACAATTCCAAGTTACTGTCCATCATTGCAGGGAAACCAAGGCAGCAGGAACAGGCAGCTTTTACACTATAGCCACAGTCAAAAGCAACGAGCAGGGAGTTAATGCATGCATGCTGGTTTTCAGTTTTCTCCACTATTACTCGGTGCACAAGGAATGGTGCCACACACAGTGGGTAGGTCTTCTCACCTCGATTAATATAATCAAAACAATCCCCAGAGACAGGCCCAGAGGCCAGTCTGTTCTAAAGAGTCCCTCATTGAGACTTCTTTCCCAGGTGGCTCTAGATGTGTCAAGTTGACAATTAAAACTATCACAGACCATTAACTTAAAAATAAATTGTTCTAGGGCCAGTAATATGGGTTAGCAGGAAAAAAATAATTGTGGAAGTCTAAAACCTGAGTTTGAGTTCCACCTAAATGTAGAAGGAAAGAGCTGTCTCCATGAAATTGTCCTCTTACCTCCAC